GCCCTGCAGCCGCCCCCCCAGCTGCCCCCCAGCACACCGCCCACCCTGTGCATCCCCGTAGAGCAGGCCCCACGGCTCGCAAAGGCAAAGCACCAGCTGTTCCGGCTCCGGCCCTGCAGCTGTCCCCCCAGCCGTCCCCCAGCACCACTGCCCACCCTGCGCATCCCCGTAGAGCTGGCCCCAAGGCTCACAAAGCACCAGCCGCGCTGGCTCTGGCCCTGCAGCCACCCCCCAGGAACCACAGCGTACCCTGTGCATCCCCGTGTAGAACCGAACAGGGAAGATCAAGAGAAACTTACCGCTCCAATCTCCTCCAGCTATCTGTGGAACTAAGTAAGAGATGGTGTAGTTGGGTAGCAGTGAGGGGTGCAAAGTTCCTGCAACTTGCACGTGCAAAGTTTCCCGCCTGGGTGTTTTGGCGTGCTCAGCAGCAATTCCTATTGGCTTTCGAAAGCCAATAGGGGGAGTAGCACAGTTCAGGCAAAAGTTGAAAAAAACCATCAAAAAAAGGTCCCGGAACGCCTTCTGGGCATTCTATGAGGAAAAAAAAGCCCTCAGATAAGTCTTTAAATATAGAAAAAGAGGACATTTAGGAGGACATTTTCGAGGGAGGACAGAACTCCCAAAAGGAGGACTGTCCTCCCAAAAGGAGGACGGTTGGTCACCTTACTACTAGACCAAGTCGGGTTTCATTTATAAATCCTTTCTATATTTTTTATACAATCCATCTATTGTGTAACATGTGGAAGAGAGCTAGTTTGGGATAGTGATTAAGACATTTGTCCAGAAACAGGGAGACTGTGAGTTCTAGTCTTACCTTAGACCAGTGGTTCTCAACCTGTGGGTCGGGACCCCATTTGGGGTCGAACGACCATTTCATGGGGGTCACCAAACAAGGCTGTCCACCATTTTTTCCCCCTTTTCTTTGGCCACGCCCCTGGCACCCGGTGATGTATAAGTGGTTGGGGGTCACCACAACATGGGGAACTGTATGATGGGGTCACAGCATTAGAAAGGTTGAGAACCACTGCCTTAGACACTAAGCCAGATGGGTTGAACTTGGGCCAGCCATTCTCTCTCGGTTCCAGGAAGCAGGCAAGGCCAGCCACTTTCAAAAAAGCTTGCCAAGAAAACTGCAGGGATTAGTCCAGACATTGCCAGGAGTCAAAATTGACTCGAAGGTATACACACACACACACACACACACACACACACACATTTTGTAACATACAGTCCTGGTCAAGACATGCCATGAATGAGAGGTCTTTGGAAATGCTCTCTCTTACTATAAGTGCCTTGCTACTCCATGTGGTGAGAAGGAAGTTTAACTTCTGCCCATCTCTATGCTACTTCAGTGATACCAAATATGATGCCTAGGAAATGTCAGATCAAAAGACAGTGGTATTCTTTTACTTAGTAAAGATAGAAGGAAAAACTGAGGATGGCACCTCTTGTTTGATCGTTTTACAGTGATGTTTGAATCAAATTCCAAATGTCCCTCTCCTACAGCAAAGAGGTGATGCTGTGCATGTGCATGAGTCTTCTGACCTCTGCTTTACTATTCATATAACTTCTCTGCTGTCAGCAAGGGATACTTGGAATCAGGTGACTTTTCAAATATTTTCTTTTAGAAGTTTTCCAAGCCATAACATGACCGATCCATCACCATAGCCCTCTTAGGATTTGCAGTTCCTGCTTCGTCTGACCTGAAAGAAAACTGGGTTATGTGCTATCCCAACTTGGATTGATGGAGGATAGAGTGATGGAGGCAGGCTTAAAGAGGGACAGGAATACATTTAAGAGAGGGGGAAGGAATGAAAAAGCAAACAGTACTCAAGCCATCCCTGCTGTGTATTCAGCATGTGGTTCTGAGCCATTGGCTTGTTGGTTTTCCTTCTATACAATGGATGACATAAGCAAATAGAGGGTTGAAGGAATGCTTTGATGTTCAAGATCCATAGATCCCTTGTTGTGTAGTATTCAGTTCTGACTTTTGAGTAAACCGCTTATGATTTCACATCTGCTTTTGGAAATAGATGCCATCAAGGAGTTTAGGAGAGATGTGAAGGTAATAAAATACTATTAGTTTGTCTTCCTCATCCAGTATTCAGAAGTACAGTATGCTGTTTTCACATTTAGATATCAAGAATCATACCTAGCTATAGAACATTCCCCATTCATCTTTTAATCCATACATGTCAAGAGAACGAGAGGAAGAAAGAAAGATTTACCTGCAATTTTCAGTCTAAGATTCTTCCAAATTTATGATGAGAATGAGAATCAAAATTACACTTTTCTCCCAACAACTGGCAGCTTTAAATATTGAAAATACAACTGCCAAAGTATCAGGCAATTGAAAGTTATTACCGGTATATAAGTTGTGTCCATGACTTGGGAATTTTATTGCATGTATTCAGCAGAAAAATAGAAGTAAAAATGTGGTGATAAAGCTGAAATTCAGGAAACCAAGAAAAGCATATATACAGAAAATGTTAAGAGATATATACTGTACATATATACATACATAATACATGCATATAAAATCATCTTAAAGCAATAATGTATGGATGAAATCCATACTCTGCCTCAGTTCAACTGGTTTACAATATATACAATGAAGTATAATAATGCAATAATATACATTTATGAAAATAAAATTTATCAATTTTCATATCTATCCTCCAAAACTCATTGGCATTTTAACCATCTATTTATGTCAATATTAATTTTATTACCATCTACGAATGTTCTGTAGCAATTTTAGGTTATTCAGTTAATTGGAGTTACTCTCATATACTTCCCATAGAGAATACTGTTAATATACCTAAGAAAATTAATTTAAAAATGGTATTTCATTTGCTGTTTGGATTATTTTAATTATCCAAGAAAAATGCATGTTTGATTTAAATATTTAAACTATTATCTCAGGACACCCCTAGACATGGCTACTAAAAGTAAACCCAATTAAGGAATGGGATTTACTTCCAGCCCAGTGTGTATATCAAGGTTAGGAACCTAGGACCTTTCTCATTAGCTTAATTATCTATTGTATTTGGATCTAATAGAAATTGAACTCCAATAACATTTGGTGGATACTAGATTACCATTTCTGGACTAGGATTGCACTCTGTGAAGTTTCTATATACACACCATGTGCCCTTTGAATAGGTGAACGTAAGATTGCAATATAAGTTTACACCATCTGTGTTTGCAATTGTGTTATATGCTACTCTTTAATCTATTTCTAACAATGCAGCATCCCCCAGAGAGGGCAAAGGTGGTTCAGAATGATGAAAGCAGCATCACAGTATTGCCCTGCAAGTCCTGACCCTTTTGTATTTATGTTGTGCCATCAAATGTGATACCCCTAGGGGTGGAGCTTGCTGTATAGGGGCATGACACCTTTGCAGATGCTGCAGAATCAGTATCAAGGTGAAGTTGAGCAACAATAGAGGTTAGAGGAATAAAGTGTTTCTTTCTGCAGTTTTAACATGCAATGCAGTTCAGAAGGGATGATGGAGACACAAAGTCTGAAAATATCCTTTTCTCAGCAGTTTCCTTTTAAGGCCTTCAATACTTTGGCTCCTTGCATTAAAAACTTGGATGAGGGCATTAGATACCAATAGATAATACTGGCCACGGAATTATTAAAGAGGATCTTAAAATGGAAATGTCCAGAACCAATGACCATCCTAGCAAAATCAGCCATGGCTAACATAAGATATCTTTATTGTGCATTAGATTGCTTTGAGAAATTTCAACATTTGAACCCCCGCAAATATGCCCAGGATTTTTTTTAAATGCCCACCAACTTTTACAGAAAGCACTCAGTGAATACTAAGCATCGCTCTTCTATCTCCTTGTATCATTGCCCACAGGTTGCACTCTGTCCCCTATAATGTGGAATGACTTTTAAAAACTTTCAATAAAGGTCACTGTGTTTACATTGAACAATATACAATTCTCCTGTAAATTTTAAACATGCTTTACTTCCTATTCCTCTCTTCTGTATAAAGTTAGATTCCACGAGACGTTTCCTGAAATTGTGCAAACATTTAATATAGGATGGATTCAAATGATGTTGGCACCAATTAAATACTCTATATCAGTGATGGCAAACCTTTTAGAGACCAAGTGCCCAAAAACTGGCCCCACCCCCACTACACTCCCCCCTGCCCTGCCCCCACTCTGCCCCATCCTCCGCCCTGCCTGCCCACAGGACCACTCACCGCCTCCAGGGCCCGCCACAGATCGCCCAGGCAGCCCAGCAGCGCTATGGCAGTCACGCCCTCTGCCCGCGCCCTGCAGCATCAACTGTGCACGATGGGGTGTGAGGGCAGAGTCTTGTCTGGCTGTTATGTCCTTGGCTGCACTGCTCCGCGTAGGCCACGCTCAAGGACGACTCTCCTTCAGGGGGGCTGCTGGAGAGGAGGCGGTCACGGGGGGAGGTGAGGCTGAGGCAACGGCATGTGTGCCCACAGAGAGGGTTCCGAGTGCTGCCTCTGGCACCTGTGCCATAGGTTCTCCACCACTACTATTTAAGATTACAGGTATGATTGGCTTCCAACATATAATGATCTCACAATGACTTACTCCATGTTACCTAAGTCTCATCATTACTGGACTGAGGTTATCCTACAAATACAGCTTGTAGGTTACAGAGTGGTTGAGGGATGTTATAAACATACACTCAACCGTGATGTGTTTTCACTTAGTTTGCCTTTATCAGTCCAGTGTGCCACTCAAACATCATATACATGCTAGTTTGCTCAAAGGTTACTGGAGTATCATTCAAAAGATAAAGAGATCAATAAGTTAGAGGTAACCAGTTTACTGTGCCATTTGAGCCACATTCACTGTTAAGAGCTTTTACTACAGATACTGTATACTAAGACATGTTTAGCATGTTGTATGATCAGGGTGATTTCCAAGCTGTTGTACAATGGTAATAATGTTCAGCTTCATCTTGAATTTGACTGATTAAAGAAAAATACAAAATCCACAGTACTAATAATTTTTATTTAGTCTGGCAAAATGGTGCATAGTTTTTTGAGTTGTTTAGAACTTTTCATCTGGGAAAGGAAGGAAAAGGAGAGATTTTTACTGACATTATAGCGTTGGACTTTAATCATACCTGTAATCTTAAAAGATAGAAGACACAGGCTAAACCCTATGAGAAATTATGTAGGCTTGACATGGTCTCTAGGGCTATGGTAAACTTCATAACTGGAATAAGTAGTAAATATTTCTATCTCTTAAAGAAAGGAAGAGCAACTAACTACTAGTACATTGCCTTCAAATGAGCCCTGCTAGCCTATCTGATATATCTAGCAGCAAATATGGTGTCAGTAAATTTGGAAGGAAAATTATTTGTAAATAAATGCAGTTACTTAGTACTTCCTGCATCAGTTTTTATTTGCCCTGCACACATGATCAGCTTTCATTGAACATTACAGAGAGCATTGTGGAAAAATATATGTTCCATGTTTGTATTGGTAAACTTTAAATGTTACTTTTTAAAAAAAAAACTTTTTATTGCTTTAAACTAGGACTTGAATGCCCACTTATTCAAAGCTCCCATTACCATGAAAGCATTAATATACATACATTAAAGATTAAAATGTTCAAAAGCTTGACATCATTCAAAGATAATTTTCTGCCCTTACTAAATTTAGCAGTTGACTTACGTTGAGTTTCAACTTCCAAAGAATACTTATTTGAAAGGTATTTTTGTTATTTTCAAAAGGCTGCTTATAAGCCTGGCTTATATGAAATATTGTAATCAACTAACTTCTGGGAAAATATAGCATATAAGTCGTCCTCCACCCCTCATAATACAATCATTCTATAGTGCTGCTTATTAATTGGACAGCACAACACTCCAAATTTATAAAGCAGTTCTTTTGTTAAATGTATTATACATTTGATGAGGAAGCTCTTTTAATAAAAATAAGTTTTGAAAGGGTGGGAAAGGCTGCCCTATAATTCCAAGTGAATTCAAATTCCTGTGAAACTTTTACAACACAACGCTACTACATCATCACTTTTCACTGATCTTTTGACTTGGGCCATTTTGAATATATATGCTATGGCAGTTACTTATTCCACCCAATCACTTCATACATCAGTGCTCTCAGCTGCCTGGCTTCATAGGTAACTGTGTTCTTCCCACTGTGCATCTTCTCTTCCTCAAGTGGTTGTTCTATTACTGCAGGGATATTTCGGCCATAAACTTCACAGTGCTCAAGAAACTGGATGCATTCTTGGATGACACTGTCACGCACCATGATCACATGCTTACACATATTTTCTAGCAATGACAAGAAACATCTTTTGGCATAATACCAAGTATCTGTGCCCAGCTTTTTGTTATATGGTTCTAAGCTCTTAATTACTCTAGAAATGCCAAAGTCAAAATTTCCTTTGGCACAGTACAGAGTCCCAATAACTAGATTGACAATACAGAGATGGTAAATCTTTTTTTCAGGTTCATGGTAAGAAAGCTGTTCCTCTTCTTTTTCGATCTTTCTCATCAGCTCCTCTGCTTCTTCATTTTGACTAGTCATAATATAAGAAACACATAGGTTAGCCAAGACAATGGCACTAACTTGAAGGATGTTGTCATAGTGTTTTTTTACAATGGGCTCATAAAAACCAATTGCCTCTTTGTATTTGTTCTCTTGCATGAATAGTACATGAGCCACATTAAGTTTCCACACTTCATGATCCTTACAGAAGTCTACTGACTTATGGAACATTTTTTCCAGCATGGAATAGTTCTCCATGTCCCAATAAATTTTGGCCTGGGCCATAAAAACAGGAACATATTTCTCCAGCGTTTCATCGTAATCATTCACAGCTTTCCTTAGAGCCTCATCATCTCGATTTTTCCTAGACTCCTGCACCTCCTTTGTCAGTTTTCTGAGCTGCTCTGTTAGGGCCCCTGCCAGTTCATCAAGCTTATGAAATGCCTCATCAGGGGCTGTTTGGCAGGTGATCATAGCATCCAAGTAGTTGTACAAGTAAGGAGTGAGAAGTTTGTAGGTCAAGTGAGCATTCTCAGCCAGCACATCTGCAGCCAAGTCATAGTATTGATACTTGCAGTACAGAAGCAGCAAATTCCCAAATGTCTCTGGTGGGCAAGGGTTCTGCTGCAGAAGGAACTGAAGTTTCTCAAAGCCTTCTGTGGCTCTCCTGTCCATGTTCATGAGAGCCTGGTTGTGCAAAGTGACCGGGTCCAGCTCCTCCTCAGACCGAGGGGGCATATCTGTAAGGGCCTCCTGAGCTGCCTGAAGGTTGCACAGCTGGTATTCAATGGCAGCTTTGAGATTGAAAGCCTCCACCAGGGCTGTCCGATGCAAGAGCAACGTATTGCCCACACTGCGGACATCGAGGCCTTCCGTATTGGTCCCCACACTCAGCTCCGGGTGCTGCTGCATGCCACGCTCAATGATGTCTGCAATATGCTTCAGAGCAGGAGCGTACTGCTTAGCAGCATAGCAGCACAGGGCCATGTTGTAGGACAGCTCTGGGCAGTAGCCCAGCACTTGCATGGCAGAGGCGAACTTGCTGCAGGCTTCCTCGTGCTGCCCTTCGCGGTACAGGAGGCAGCCCATGTTCACCTCCGCGTCAGGCAGCTCGGAGGGGTCCTCGGAGGGGGCGCCGGGGCTGCTTTCGGCGGCGGCCGCCAGCTGCAGCTCCACCCGGGCCTTGGCGCTGGAGAGGTCGCCCTGGGCGTAGTGGGCCGCCGCCTGCAGGCGAAGCGCTCGGCTCTGGAAGGCCGCGACGTCGAGCAGCGGGGCGGTGGCGCGCAGGGCCTCGCCGTAGAGCCCGGCCTTGTAGAGCGCCTGCGCGTGGTACAGCCGGTACTCGTGGAGCTCGGGGTGCAGGAGCCCCAGCTGCTCGTAGCACTCAGCCGCCGCCGCGAAATCCTGCAGCTGGTAGTAGCAGTAGCCGAGGAGCGAGAGGCCGGCCCGCGAGCGGCAGCTCTTTTGCAACTCGCTACTCAAGATACCCACTGCCTCTGCAAAACGGCCGGCCCGGATCAGCCCGTAAATAGCCGCCGTGAACTCCCCGTCGGCGATAGAGGCCATGTCGGTGGCCATTTCGAATAAGCCTCCGGCTGCCTACAAACAACGTTGCCTAGGCAACAACATGCCGCCACCGGAAGCGGAAGGCAACCGAGAGCCCGCCCCCCGCAACTGGCGGTTGTGAGCGCCCTGGGGAAATGACCCGTTCCGTATTTGGTTTCTCATTGGGTCGCTACGACCCTGGAAAGAGAGAGAGAGAGAGATGGCTACCCCAAAGGCCTGACCATGCGGACCACATAGCCCGCGGGCCGCGCGGCTCTCTTTTCTCTCTTGGCGCCAAGCGTTGTGGGGAATGTAGTTCTCTGGAAGTGGCTCGGGAGGCCGGCTGTTGCCACGCGTTCTACGTGAGGGGCGTGGCCGGGTGCCTAGAATAGCTAAGGCGGAGTGTTCGCCAGCTTAGCTGGGTTGAATTATTTCTTTACTTCTCCGGAGGCTGAAGCTAAATTCGCCATTTCCCGAAGGGGGACGGACTGCAAAGAGAGTCAAGCGCCTGTACTTTTAATTGCTGAGTGGAGGAAAAGATTTTGGCGCTAGCGAAGCTGATGCCGCAGTTTCTTTGTCCATCGGATGCCGTTTCTATACCGCTCAGTGACCGTCCGTCTCCTGTCCATTCTCTTCACCTCCCGCTAAAACAAAGACGCTCTTTTTTCCCTTTTAAAGCGAATAGGAACGGTTCATCTTTAAGGTTATCTGTAAGAACACTTCTCTTTCCTCTAAAGAATATGCAGTGGCATATCCAAATGTATAATTATTATTTTTTTTTCATATAACTCAGCTCCCTCTTTATTATAATTGACACGTTTTTTTATCTGATTTAAATTAAAAATATGCTAATTCGGTTTTCAGGTTAGGTAGGATATGGAAAGAGAACCCAATCTGCTATTCATTTATACCATTTCTTTTGTTGTATTTGCACAGACTAGTGTTAGGATAAATTATTAGACTACGGATGCTTTCTTTAAAATTTGAACCAGAAAACTCAATGAATGGTCTTGAATCAAATACTACCTCTGCTGTTTTGCAGAATTTTTGAAAAAGATAAATATATGATAGCTTTAATATATTCTGCCTTTATGAAAAATGGACAGGGTACAAATTGATTGATTAAAATAATGATGAATTGTTAAAGAAATCTTACAAGTTTCCACGGAAATTATTATATACAGATATTTTGAAGGTTTTTCATTTTTACACTGTACAAATCATTAAAACATCTAGTTATGTTGACTTTAAAATACCAGGTACATTTATTTTTTTATCAGACACTTGTTGGATAATTTTTTAGTTGAATCATAATCAAGGGTGTATTGCAACCTATCAGAATGTTCAGTGTACTCTATTTCTCATTTTCTTTTTCAGGTAATAGTGTATTGCTTCCAAGAATGAATGCTCAGTAGGTTTCGCTGGCAATTTCCTTTTTATGGGCAAATACGTATTTATGGGCTGCACTGGGGTAGTGTCAGAATATATGTCAAGAGTTGTTCAGACTTTTTCCTACAGGATTTTTTGACTAAAATTTCAAAAATTGTTTTAAATGTTAAGTTTTATCCATCTGTCTATTTAGAAGTCATTATGATACATCGTCAAAATAAAAGTTTTTTAAACATTAGTGCCCATGTCTAATGTAAAACACAGTACAATTCAACCTTCTCCATTTGGGGTTTTCCAGATGTGGCCTAGAATTCCCAGAGTCTTCATAGTAAAAATGCACGTGCATCCTTTTATGGCAACAATTTATGGATTCATTTGGAAAAAAACTCTTCAGTGTAAGTTGGGGTTCAGATTTCCAGAATGGTTTTAATTTTCTCATGCAATTGTTCTGCCTCCCACAGCAGTTTTACAGGGATCCAAAGAAAGGCCATTTCCATTAAAAAGCCTCCCTTTCATTAGAAAGGGAAGAAAATGCAAAATATTACAGAATGTCTTGAGGTAGGTAATGCTAAGAGCTATCTATCTGGAAGTATTCCCCAGAATTGAACTTAAGGAATAGGAGATTCTTTACTTCTATGAAATGAAAAGGCGCTTTGAGCTTTTAAAAGTAGATTCTGCAAGGACCACTGGACAATTTACCATTACTTCCATATCCATGAAGACCATATCATGGTATAGTTTAAATTTTTGAACAGAAGGAGATGCTTCTCTATGCCTAAACGCGTTAATGATCAGGAGAGATTGTGTTGGAATTGGGGAAAGGGAATGGAGATGCTGGGGAGCACTGGAACCACAATAGTCGTCAGCAGGTTTTTGAATTTTGACCCACAATAGAAAAGATAGCAGGAGACATGGGAAATAGATGGAGGCAATTATAAATAAGTCTGTGATGGATGGTTGACATTGTTAGGGCCTCAAGTGTATGTCAGCTTGCAATGGTTTTGCATTCCCCTCACTGCCACTGCTGTTGCTATGGGCAACGATGTGTTGAAGCCAATAAAAAGCAGAGGAAACAAGGGAACGCTCAACCTTGGAGGAAGCTGGAGGTTGCGTGCTATAAATTATGTCACACTTCACAGTGCATCGTATCAAAATTCAGGAAAGCTTTATGGAGCTGCCAGCAACCCCCAGTCAATCATGGTATCTGTCTTTTGCCATAAAGCACATATTACATAAATAAGTCTCAGACGAATTCCAAGTATGCCATCCCACCTTTTTATTTATTACTGGGGAAAAAGTGGTGGAGGAATAACAGAAACAAGTTAGAAGACTACAAGTATTTGTTTAGACAATAACATAGATCTTCCATTTCCTTATGTGTCCTATTCCCTCTGGAAAAAGAATTAAGAAGTTCCACCATCTTGTATTTTGTTCAAGTAACATTTTAATTTAAAATATTGAGAGTGGGGTAACATTTGCATTATAATTGACTGAAAATGTCACAGAGCGGAGAAACTTTCAACTTCTCCAGAAGACTTCACCAAAGTGAATAGTACTAAAACCAGGGTTGGGAGAAAGCATCAAAGGATGTCATAAATATGATAAAGTATAGTAGAGATCAGATTATAAAGATTCAGATGGTTTGTCATATGTTCCTAGAAGTACAAAATGCTACTACAATTTCAAAATGGGGTGATATAATAGACAATCTGTTTTTTTTAATCTTGTGCTTAGATATTTATGTAGAAGATGGCAGATATCTACAGTACCTGCTAAGAGAATCAGAATTCAATTCCCTATAAAGGAAAAAGTATAAAGTTTTCCCATTACAATTATATCCTATTTGCAGTGTTTTTCAAGACAATCTTGCATTTATTTGAGTCAGGTATTCTATGACTGAGAAATTCTAAATTTAATAAATATGTATAATATAGCTCAGCATGCATTTGCGGCAAAGTGCCAAGATTACTGACATTCCTAGTCTGAAAGAAGCCACTTTTTCATGATTATACCAGCTTTGCTTAACTGAAAAGTTAACAAATTTATATTAGATGTATAACATATTTTAGAGGCAAATAATTCCATCTGCTCTGTTTAGGCCAAAGGAAATTCCCTCAATTGTGTATATAGTTCAGTCCACATCTGGGCGAGGCCGGTATCACAAACATTTCTTAGAATGCTCCTTTAATTTAATGCATTGTTTTACAGTTTCTTTTAAAAAAATAGAATCCATATTTCGTTATGCAGTTTCATATATATGTATATATGTGTGTATAGAGTTTCCTGATAGGGTTTGGGAAAGGCATACATTTTCCCCAAAAAATTTTTGTATGCATCTTTGGAACCAAGAAATATTTGAAAAGATTTCTTCACACTAGAAGTCCTTTTACATTGTGACAGATTCTATTTTGGTGAATGCTTCCATTTTACTTAAAGTAATGACATGTTTCACCCTCTTAACATCCTTAGTGTTTTACCTATACATTATCATTCAATAGATCTGCACTGTAATTTATATGCGGTGAGGAAAATATTTCCCTTAGTCACTGTCTTGAGATATAACTCCTGTAGAGCAGCCATTGGATCTCTTCCTTGTACTTTTCCTTAGCAAATTAGTGATTTATTCACAGCATTCAAATGGTTTTCTGCCTAAATCTTGATGGGTGTAATTGCAAAAATTCCACTACAGCAATATATTTATCTTTAGGTTAAAAGACTTCATTTGTATTCACTTGGAGGGTCTCAATAAAGTTTGTCAATAATAAGAAAAAAATTGTTTTAAAGTTCCCTCAGCAGCTTGACAAGGATTTAATGAACTTCCAATAGCTATAAAATGAGATGTGAATAGAAAGAGAACATTGTGTAATTAAGCCATTAGTAGATTAGATTTGGTTTGAATTAAAAGGCATCGACAGATAGAGATTACGCTACCCTATCTATATTATAGGTTTCCTGATGGAGGAAATGAAAAAGAATCTTTCCAGAACCATTTCCTTCCTGTCTGTCTATGAAGTGTTCAAGGTTGGAAGTCCTAAACCAGTGATGGCAAACCTTTTAGAGACCGAGTGCCCAAACTGCAACCGAAAACCACTTATGTATCATCGGGTGCCGGCTGGGCATGGCCCATTGGGTGGGTGTGGACCACATGGTGGGCATGGCTGCAGTGGTAACAGCAGACTGGGTGGGACTAAAAAGTTCAATCAATTCTAACTTTGTGAGATCTTTTTTTTCTCGCCAGAAGTTAAAATTGATTGATTGAACCTTTTTATTTTTTTTGCACACGGTGGTAGAGGCCTAAAGCGAAAAGGTTTTTTAAAACCCAGCTGAAGGCCTAGGATGGGATGACAGCGCGCACAGAGAGGGCTCTGCGTGCCACCTGTGGCACGCATGCCATAGGTTCACTACCACAGTCCTAAACCATAGTAAAAGAGTATCAAGTTATTTTTTTTTTCCATCCAGCTCTTGGAAACATCTGCTTCTTTTTAATACCCTTGAGAAATGTGAAGTCACATTTAACATACTAAGCAATTTGGCATCCTTTAGGTATTTGGACCACAACTCAATCAGCAAGATCATGGTGGTTGTATCTTACAATTTGTGGAAGGGTGTTGGGTTTCTCACCTTGTAGCAGGGCTTTGCGGAGCCAGAGGTTTTGCTACAGTAACAGAAGTAGGTCATTTCTACTTTCATATTTCATATGAGCCGAGGTGGCGCAGCAGTTAGAGTGCAGTACTGCAGGCCACTTTAGCTGACTGTGTTCAGCAGGTCAGCGGTTCAAATCTCACCGGCTCAAGGTTGACTCAGCCTTCCATCCTTCCGGGGTAGGTAAAATGAGGACCCAGATTGTTGGGGGCAATGTAAATATATATATACATCGCTTACTGGTGTACACCGCTTAGAGCAGTGGTTCTCAACCTTTCTAATGCCGCAACCCCATAATACAGTTCCCCATGTTGTGGTTACCCCCAACCACTTATACATCACTGGGTGCCAGGGGCGTGGCCAAAGAAAAGGGGGAAAAATGGCGGACAGCCTTGTTTGGCGACCCCCGTGAAATGATTGTTCGACCCCAAATGGGGTCCCGACCCACAGGTTGAGAACCACTGGCTTAGAGAGTGCTTGCACTTAAAGTGGTATATAAGTCTCATAAATAAATAAATAAATTTCTATTGCTGAAATTGGGTAAATGATCACACCTGTAATGTGCTTGAACATGTCCCCTAAAATAATTGTTATGTTGGACTACTCATTTCTGTTAAATAATAAAATGCTATTGTTGCAGTTGAGGTAAACCCTCCGCTCCCTTTCACACTCGACGCAGAACCTCTTAGATGCCAAATAACATTCAGAATCTGCTGGATATTGAATGGGAAGCATTTCAGATAAAAGGAAATGATAAAAGGATCCCTCAGAGCAGCCCAGCTTTCACCATCAAGCTCCTACCAACCTCAAACCAAGTATTTCAGATGTACAGCAAATGCAGAGCTGGGAGTTGCGAGTTTTCTGACCTAAAAATTATTCCTGTTAAGTTTAGGAGAGTACTTTTTCATTCCAACTATTTTTTTTTTTTGCTGTTAAAGGACTAGATAAAATTCTGATTCTCTATTATGCTTTTATTCATTATTGTTTCAACTGCTCTCATAAATTGACTTTGCCTGATTTCTGATAGCATTAGATCTTTTTTCACTTTTTCCCTCTACTCCAGCCTTTTCTGCTACCTAAATTCTGTTAAGTTCTGAAAGGGGAGGGGCTCAGTAGTGTTTTCAATTTACAAGCATCTTCTTCTGTAAGAATTCCGAGTATCTAGAGATCATTTTACTTCTAAATGATCTTTGGTAGGGGTTTAAAAGGGTAGCAGAAATTATAGCCAACCATCTTCCTCAGACCCTTTGTTCCCGCACTTTGGGAAGTGCCGGTAACCCAGAGTGATCCTAACTACATGCCAATCCATATGACAGGTTGTCGTGTTAGGCACCCAAATTGTTTGGACTCAGGTGTTCTCAGCTCACAAAACTTTTCAGTAAGTGTTGACTGGGTTGTGGTTGGACATGTGTACAACATCCTTCCTGGAGCAAGCATAATTTATCCATAGACCACGCAATGAGAATGGAACATAGATGTAATTCCACACCTCATTAGGGAATAGAAATCTAGTAACTTGCCATGGCAGTGCTGAAATAAATTTGATGTTTCATTAACAGAAGTGAGTTCACTTCAACTGCAGACATCTCTGGATATTTTATAAGTCAAGGATTGCCAACATGCAAAAAAATAATTACCAGAGCACATGCAATGGTGACTTAGTTTCTGTTAGCTAAGACAGATTAACATGTGTAAGAAAATAGCTAGAAAAAGCAGAGGTAGTCATTGCTCTTTTCATATTATCATCTAATGTCATATCAGACTTAAAAATAATAATTTTCTGAAAATGTACCAGAAAGCTACATTCATATCCTATAGTGCAAGTTCTCTACCCAAGGCAAGGTTTTGTTTTTGTTATGCAGTTTTCTGGATATACCACTGATTCTCTTCTTAAGATGTGCAAAGCAGCTGTAAAAATGAAATTACAGAATTCTAAAAGTATCATGCAGAATTTTACCTTTATATAAGCTTCTGCCTGCAGAGCAATTCAAATTGGGTTGCTAATATGAAATCAAGGAAGTCCAAGCAGGTTCGTCTTTTTAACTGTAATAAAGTTCATTTTCCCTCCCTCAAATACAGCGAAGAGGGACAATTCTAAAAGCCTTGTTTAATCCTATGAGGCTTGTTGTAAAAAACATATTTCTTCAGAATATAAAGCAGGCTTCTCTGAATAAACCAAATAGAACAGAAAAGGGGTAAAAAGACAGATTTCACAAGCGCAGAAATAACCATTCATACTAATAAAAGCTGGAAAGGTGCAATCTCAAAATATTTTTACAAAAATTATCCCTTTTTTCAGAGTCTCTTGAAGAAGCTTCAGCATTTTTTAAAAATCAGTCACAGCTTCCTTTTATTAATTTTCATGAACTATGAGTTCCACTTATATGAATCCTTTGTGACCATATTTGCCAATTTTCTTAAGACTTGCTGAAAGAAGCTGACAGGATCCAGACTCAGTGAAGCTTTCCAGATTACAGCAGGAACCCAATTGTCTCCCTGTAGATTCTCCCCTCAGACCATGTGTTGGCCTGTAAGAAACGCTAAGACTTGGCCTTAGTGTTTTCACTGAGATTGCATACGTTCTTGCCTGCCTTATATATTATTAATTAAATACTATGAGACAAAACTTTCTTTTGATTCTCTTATCCTAGGAACAGGAAACAGACGTAGACTTATTTTATGCTCTCTGGAGACATGGCTAAGTTGGATGTTGTCTGAGAAAGCAAACTTTTCTGATGCAATTCCTCCCATTTTTTTCTGTTGGCCACCACAGAGTCCAGCATAGGCTTCAGTTTTCCATTCACTTTCACTAAGGCCTGAGAGAAAGCACAAAAGAAGCAATTGTGAATTATTAGTTAAGATGTCGGTTCCAGTACAGATAAAATGGAATATTTGCTCACAGACTTCATGGGAGAGACTTTCTTCTAGAGCTTTTAATGAAGAGTATTGTTTCACAACATAGTCTAAAACATTAAAAGAAATTCTGAAGGAGACGGGGAGATAGCTAATGTGTCCTGGTGGAAAATGAGATAAATCAACCATTAAAAATGTCTTATCTAAACAAGCAGTTAGTCTCTTATCAAATCTTGACACTGAGGCTCTCAATAGAATAGTTTTTCCACTTTATTCTAATAAAAAAATGATAAGTTTTATGTGAGCAATTGGCCAAAGATGGTCCAACTCTTAAGCCAATTAGATATTTGTCCAGGGACTCCCCGGCCTTAGTCTTATTCTAATCATTGTAATGGATGAGGATGGGCAATATGTTCTGTATTTGGCCTGGGGTAACTCTTTAGCTAGCTACTAGCTACAGAAGCCTAGTAACTTTAAGAGGCAGGGCTGAAGTATGTTTAGCAATTTGGGTGCTTTGTAAGGATGAGTTTGGGAGTGTGTAAACCTGACACCTGGCCTATATACTGATGTCCATCCTTAGGATGTTTTTTAAATTCAACAACTGCATTGCCAACGTTTAAGCAATTTCCTGTCAAATTTCAGCAGCCCAATCTCAGAGTCATATGGGGCTGCAAAGAACTTGGATCAACAGGCTGCCCTATTGTTACATGATGTGATACATGTAGGTCTAATTGCCTCAGCATGTTTTTTTTTTTCAAAGACTTTCCCCACTTGGTCTCTAATTATGTGTAACACATAACATTCAAAGTATGTGAATATGCATGCAGAGATTAAGAAGGGAAATTTTGTGAACTAGGTGGGCCAAGTCTTCTGGACACCTTTGAGGTTTTAGGGACTTTTGAAACTGCCTCTTTGAAATATTTTACATAGCCCTATGAAATTAAGAGGCGCTGGTGGATTTTGCTTCTTCTGAACAATTTCCCAAGTGCAGTTATTTTTACCTTTACATTCAAAAGGGCCTAGGTGTATCTACAATGCTGGAAGGCTTGTATTAGCAGCTAAGCATGTAACTCCTATCAAGTAAATGAGGATTAGGAAACAGTTTAAGACAGTGGTTCTCAACTTTTCTAATGCCGCGACCCCATAATACAGTTCCCCATGTTGTGGTGACCCCCAACCACTTATACATCACCGGGTACCAGGGGCGTGGCCAAAGAAAAGGGGGAAAAAATGGCGGACAGCCTTGCTTGGCGACCCCCGTGAAATGGTCATTCGACCCCAAATGGGGTCCCGACCCACAGGTTGAGAACCACTGGTTTAAGAAGTTAGAAAATTAGTTGGAAAATTCTGGGAGTTGAAACCCAACAATCTTAAAGTTGGTGAGTTTGAGAAACAGTGGATGATACCCTACTGATGAAATAGCTTTCTGCACACCAATAAAACCTGCTATGAGGTGCTGAAATATTCTGGAACAAATTGTGAGCAAGATTACAATTTAAAGAGGAAGCCAGTGGGAAATCCATATTGTTTATGAAAAACTATGATTGTACTATATGAACTTGGCTTTTATCTAGTGTGATATTCATTCTAAATATAACATACTAAACTACTAAAGTAACTAGTTACTTTAGTATAAGTTACTAAAGTTCTTTATGTAAATGGTGATTTAATGGTACTTCATATGCTTTTATATGATTAATTAGCATATTAGTCTATTTCTAGTGAAGTATATTTGTATATCAATTATAATTGTAAGAGATAATGGTCAGTTAACCGAACATCATTATTACGCTTGGCTATTAAAAGTGAATTCAAAAAAATGAAGGAGATAGTTGATTTTCAGTTATAAGTACACTACAATAAATTAATTGTATAGAACAGTGGAAAGATAATGATGTAACATTATTAAAATACCATTTGATATACAGTTGAATCAGGTGGCATTTGAGTTAGAAATACCTCAAAAGGGTAGATTTTATGTGCAAGGCATAAAATGTCCTTATTCAGAAGCTCTTTTGATATTTAAACTCTATTTGTGTATTTTAATTAAGTATTCTACTATACATCTTGTAGAAATTAGCCTTTAAAAATAAATTGGCTACTAAAGTATTAATCTCAGGGTTTTCTAGATACAAAATACATAATTTGGACTTTATAACAGCCTGAGATATAATTTTAAAAATCTTTTGATTACTATATATTTTTGGGTTTTTTTTATTTACTAAATCACTGCAATCAACTCCCTTTTATGAAGCTTCTGGGAAATTATCTCAAAAGCACATTTCTCTCCTCCCTGCAGATTGACATTTACTAATTTACTCCTTTAGCACCTTTTCACGTTTAAATCAATTTACCAGTTTATTTATTGGACCACTTAAATATTTTGACTTTGGTACAGCTGTGACCCTGTACCTTTTAACACTTCATCCCACACATATCATGCCCTGTTCTGCCAGTTACAGAGAAATCCTTTGCTCAGACTTCTTCTATCCTATTTATTCCTTTTAAACAGTTATTTAATAAAACCATACAAAGTTTTGGTCTGGCTTAGTCTCCAAAATCTAGTATGTAATGGACGTTACTTATAATGTCACAGCAATGGTTTTTAAAGCATAGAATATGCTATTGTAATTTTTCAAATTTATCACTGCTGGCTATCACTTGGAAAGCATAGAGGAAATTATTATTAACAAGGCATTATTTCTAGCATGCTTACACATATTAAGTGCTGCTTTGACTCTTGGACTTTCTCTGCAACATTTGTACACTGTTTAGTTGTATATATAAGTTTGTACGCAAAGTGTTTTATACACCTTTAACGTTTTTATTAATTTTTCCTGTACTATATAATAATCTACATCATGGGTGTCAAACTCGATCGGGTCATGCGACGTATTGTGACATATCTCGATGTTTTTGCCTGTGCGGAGACGGGGTGCCCATGACGCATCCAACCCATGGGCCGCCAGTTTGACACCCCTGATCTACATACAAGAACGTGGACAGCAAGAGCCTACAGAGATCAATCCTGCAGAGAAAAGCATCCAATTGTTCCCCATTTTCAGGAATTTAAGGGGCAATGCTCAGAAGCATTGTTTCATTGTGGTGAGATCAACCCTTTACAAGGGCCTCCCAACTGTTAGATTAGTTAGGTTAGCTGGAGTTTGAAAGCCTCCCCAAATTTTCTCTACTGGGCAACCATATTCAATAGATCTGCCTATATCATAACCACTTTCTGGAAGATGTTGAAGACTGAGCTCTTGCCAAAGACAAGAGTTGGTTGTGGCACTTAACAGAATAATGAAGTTGGAAGGGACCTTGCAGGTCTTCTAGTTCAACCCCCTGCTCAAGCAGGAGACTCTATACCAGGGGTGTCAAACTGCCAGCCCGCGGGCCAGATGCGTCATGCTGAAACTGTGCCCACCCCAGTTCCAGCAATGGGAAAAAAGTTGCGATATGTTGCGACACATCATGTGATGTGGTGAGTTTCACACTCCTGATCTATACCATTTCAGACAAATGACTGTCCAATCTCTTTTTAAAAGCCTCCAGTGGTGGAATACCCATAACCTCTGAAGGCAAGCCTTTCCACTGGGTAACCACTTCTTGGTTTTGTTATTCTAGGTTTTATTTTATGTTTTATAGAGAAATATATTGTATATTAAGTGACTATCCATATTATTATAATGGGTAATAGATGTACTCTATGAATTTTGCTTATTTTTTTAAAAAAAACAACCATTTAATTTACTGCTGTTCAACAATATCATCAAAAAGGAACTTGGTAACAAGAAAAATTTTAAAGGGGCAAAAGGTATTAGCATGTGAAAGTTCCATAGAAATCAAAAGGGTAATAATAGTATTGTAGTTTGTGTTTGTTGATTAAACCATTTCTTTGAAAGCAAGTAAAATAAAGAAGCTGAACTTTTCAGGACAACACACAGAAGATATTGTGCTATCTTGAATTCCATTCTTTAACACCCAATGTCCTGATAACATCCGATATTCCCAGTTTGTTCTTTACATCACTGGATCTACTTCATTAGGATTTCACATTGTAAAGAGCTGGCTATGTGTTTGTAACGATCCTTAGGATTAGCACTTGGAAAATGGAGAGAATCGAGAATGGGGCTGAGGCTGTGATCCCTATCCTCAATTAGCATTCACGATTTCACATATTCCAAATTGCTTAGGAAGTGTAGGAGAAGGAGTGGCAGAACCTGGGATGGAGTCAAAAGAGGACTCAGCCTAGAGTCTCCATATAGCCACAAGCAGACTAAGTCCAACCTCTCTTGAATTCCATTCACCCTTATCTAGCACCAAGATAGTGCTACTGTTAGTTGAGTAGATTCCTGTGCATGAGCATGATTACTAAACATCACTTTAATTAGAAATTCATGTATGGAACTGATCTTTCACACATGACAGGAGGGCTTAACTGAAGTATTTCCAAAACTTTATTTGAAGGTCACTAAGAGTGCTTGAAGAGAAAACTCTGGTGGGAGAAGGGAACCATGGAATATGCAAATTATTTATTTACTCATTAAATATACATCTTGCTTTTCCACTACAACCCGTGCTTGAAGAAACTAACAACCAGCACAAAATAATTATTTAAAGGCAAATGTTGAAAGATACATAATTAAAATAAAAAAAAAATAAGCAGCCCTCATTTCTTGAAACCTATTTCAATATACTGAAAAAACCCTCAAGTAATGAAAACCTATTTCAGTGATGGCGAACCTTTTAGAGACTGAGTGCCCAAACTGCAACCCAAAACCCACTTATGCATCATCGAGTACCGGGTGGATGTGGTCCATTGGCTGGGTATGGCTGCAGTGGTAATGGCAGACTGGGTGGGACTAAAAAGTTCAATCAATTCCAACTTTGCAAGATCTTTTTTTCCCCCCGAGAGAAGTTGAAATTGACTGGTTGAACCTTTTTTTTTTTTTTTTTGCACACG